GTGATGCTGCCTTATCCCTGCTTGGAAGGGACTGCAATTAGCACGAGGAAAACGGAGAAATATCCTGTGCTGCTGCGGTGGTAACACAAATATAAACCCAGGAGATACAGCCTCAGGGATGGGAGAGAGCGTGGAGCCCACTGGAAGCCTCCCAGTATGAGTTTTTCACTGGTGAAACTGGGGGCGGGAGGAGGTTACTGAGTACCACCTCCCTCCCACCACCCCTTCCTCTCCGGTGGAATGAAAAGCTCACAGCCAGTGAGCTGTTTATCCCAACAGACCTATTTATTTCAGCTAATTGCTGAGAATTTTTAAATGGTTCCTGGCAGGGGTGAAGCTATAGAAATGATTGCTGGTGATTGATGAATAACCTGGATAAAATTCCCCAAGCATCAAACTGATTAACTCTTACTTGGGTACGCCTGCTCATGTTTAGGTGGGAGCAAGTTCCAGATGATTAGAACCAAATTTATTTGGGCAAATAGAGAAAACACAGCATTTACTGGTACCAGCATCTCACCAACTCGGGCTCCATTCTCAAAAACCAGCACACAGGGAAGGTTATTTAACCCTGTGCTGCTCTACCATGGCCAGGATCATTCGGGGAAGAGAAAGGTTTTGAAGAGCAATGCCAAGCGTGCAGGAAGAACCAATGGTTTGAAGTTTAAAACTCCATAAATATAAACCACATCAGACTTTGGTTCAAGCCGTTCTTGTGGTTAATGTAGCAAAAGAAAAGGGTGAAGGCACATTGTGGATTCTGAGCATCTCTACGGGTCCAAGATTATGTTTCTTACTGGAAGATATCTACAGCCTAATGGAAATTTTGGGGTAACTGGGTGACGTTTTACAGCCTCTGTAATATGGAAAAAGATTAGGCGATTTCTTCTATTTGGAAATTGATGGTTTGGAGGGAAGGGGAAAATGCAGGTGCAGCAGAGGAGAACCACAGCAATAGCCATCTATTTAAATGTATGCACTAACTTCCCTAAGCCAGTATTTTTCAAATACCCTGCTAGCAATATTTTCCACTATAGAGAAGCATCAGAGTGAAATGGGAAGATGCTGAGGAAGTCATTTTTTTTTTCCAGCATGTGCTGCATTCTTTTAATGCCCTTTTTTTTTTTTTTTGATTTCCCGGAAATTGCTAACCATTGTGAATAAACAGCTGAACAAAGAGCATCTCCCCATCCTCACTAATAGCAAAAAGCTGCCGTGGCGATGTACGGAGGAGAATGATGCATTAGAGTTCCCTCCTCTTATGTTGCAGAAAGCTTTATTCAAAATAGGGAAAAAAAAACCCACCAAACCCTAAATCTGCACATGCACAAAGACGGTTTTACATCAAAAGAGCCCAAATATTATTCACGTTTGTGAACAATGCACCCTCATTCCTGCTCCGGCGCTGAGCAAAACCCGGCGCTTCTTTTTAATGAACGTTTTAATGAACGTTTGCAAAACACGACACATGAACGACCCAGAGCCTGCAAAGCCCCCTTCCCTGCAACCCGCCAAGCTGGCAACTCCGCCAGCCTCCCAAGCCCATTCCTACAGTGAAACCAGTGAAACAAGACAGCAGTGGGATCCAGCAGAGTCAAGAATTAACGAGGGATCGGAGAACCCCACAGTCTGCAAACTATTTCGAAGAGGAGGAGGAAGGAATGACTCAGGTTAAGTGTAAAGTACAACTTGGAGCAGTGGCTGGCGATTGCTATCCTCACACAGGCGTATTAAATCCTTATAATTTGTCATATTAATAATTTTGTATGCCCACATGATGAAAGCTGTGTCGTTGCCACATGAAACAGTCGGCATCACTGTAGCTCTGGGGACGCGTTTCATGCATGGTAATTTTGTGTGTACTTATAACTACACCTCATTTGGGGTACTTATTAAAAATAGTAGTAGGAACTGCTATAGCAGTAATTCTGCAATTCCATCACAGTTTTGAAATACCTGTGCCCTAATACCTTATTGATGTGGCAAACCCACCTGGTTTTAGCGTGCATTCATGTTTCCCACCCTCCAGCCATCCCCAGCGTTATACCCACATATTTCTTCTTTCTATATCAGAGCCTGCTCAAAAAAGCAGTTGGGAAAGCAATGCTCTGCTGGCTCATTTGGAGTGAGAGCCCCCTGAAGAGACATACATTGAGTATTAGCAGTAACACATGATTCGATGCCCTCTAGATCTCTTCATAAAAGGAGAGGGGAGAAAAGCCAAAGAGCCATTGCACGGATTTCAATAAACATTGCAACAGAAAAGTAGCCCAGGAGGACAAACGCGGGTGCTCCTGTGCCCTTGCCAGAGGGCAGGCTGAGCTGGGGGCAGACACAAGCCAGGTTAGAACCTCCTGTGAACCAAATGGCTTCATTTCTATGTATTTCTCCCTAAAATTTCCAACCACAGTTCCCTCCAGCTCAGTTACCAACAAAAATACCATCTATAGGTGCCCACAGCTTTGAGCGGTCATCAGCACTTTAAGCAGTAGATCATTTAGCCACGCGAGCACAGAGAAAACTTTCTAGTATTTCAGCACTGTCAGACCCCTGGTCCCAGCTGGAATCTAGAAATGCAGCAAAAAGCCTCTTTTTTTTTTGTGCTTCTCAAGGCCTCGAGTCAGATTTGGGGGTGAAGGATGGGTGAACATGGGCATCAGGGGAGTTGTTTCCCTGGCAGTGGGGCTGGCCAGCTGGTCTCAGCATCACCCAGCCAAGCCTGAGCTCACCAGCAGCCTTAAAAGTGGCCGGAGAACCATGAATAAACATGACATTGCTTCACCAGGAGCTTTCCATCACAGCAGAAACGATGCTTCCCCCAGCCTCGTTATGACAGCGCTATTTGTGCTGGTACAGATAAGCATCTGTCACTGTTTCCATTAGAATCTCCTATTTTCCTGGGTTCATAGCTCAGCCATAAAAAACGTAGCGGAGAGGCAGAAAGTTGACGTACAAGGTCTCAAGCTGGGAGTGATCGTTGTTGTCTTCCCCCCCCTCCCCTTTCTAATCCAAAGAAGAAAATAACAGAGACACACCTGACCACTACGTTTTTGATCCAGCTGTAGATTTATTTAGCACTAGTGATGGCCACCTTTCAGTATTCCAAGTCGTGAATGTTGCCATGGTGGCCACCTTTCAACCTGCAACATTAATTACTGCATTAGGGATGATCAGAAGAACATGTGGGACGTGGGTTTGGGCTCTGGGTTAGAGCCTATTGCTAGAGAACAGGCCCCAGTGAAGGTTAAGGGCTTTGGAGTTTCTGATCTTTGCCAGATGATGAAATGAAAAATTGAAGATTAGAGGAGTAACAACTGAATATTATAGCAAGTGAATACTGCTGGGAACTGACGGCGTAGAAGACCCCTCTGGGATCAGCAGAAGAGGGAAAAGCAAGCCCAGCATCCCAGTTTCCCCAGTGCTTTGGCTGTTTCAGGCAAAATTCCACCCCGTGATCTTGCTTTGGTTGCCTACTGGCTAGGGAAGACCCCATCCTGTGCAGGAGCACCGCCGGGAGCCCACCATCCTGACCCTGGCACTTAGAGATTGGTGCTGAAGTGAGTGAGGAGGAGGAGGTGGTGGCAAATTTGGGGATGAGGGCAGCACAACCCTCTTCTTTCTTTGTTCCATTTTAAGTGCTTTTTCCTTCTGTTCACACATTTTGTAAGAATAATTGCAGCTGGAAAAGTTTTCCTTTGTACATTAGGAGAAGAGGGAACGGCCTCAAGTTGCGCCAGGGGAGGTTTAGATTGGATATTAGGAGAAATTTCTTCACTGTAAGGGTTGTCAAGCCTTGGAACAGGCTGCCCGGGGAAGTGGTGGAGTCACAGTCCCTGGAGGTGTTTAATAGACGTGTAGATGTGGTGCTGAGGGACATGGTTTAGTGGTGGACTTGGCAGGGCTACCATAACAGTTGGACTCAATGACCTCAAACGTCTCTTTCAACCTAAATAATTCTATGATGCCATAAGACAGTCCTGAAGAGAACAAACCCTGAAAACACGTTCTCCAAAACTTACATTCAAGCTTTAAAGGACCTAAAAAGTTAGGTGATCATTTCTGGCCTCTTGAAAGACAGATCCTGCTTTTGACCTCTTGAACATATGCTCAAGTTCTGCATTTTCACCAGGACGTCTCTCACAGTGTACAGGAAGAACGTACATGGACAACGTGTTTCTACATTAAATTGGAAATCTGCTCCATGCTGAGACCTGCGTGTTGGACTCTGAAATCTAACGCCATTCTATCCTTACCAGAAGTATTTTTTGCATTAGACTTTGCTTGACCTCGTCACGTCTCTGAGGAATGCTGAGATGTGCTTCGGGGCCGGGATCGCTCAGCGCTTCTTGAAGGCTGGGCCTGGCTAAAATACAGGCAACTTGGCACCTGAAACCAACACACCAACACTGTGGTTGTTTTCATGCTCTGTCTCAAGTTAAGAGCACAAATGGGTGTGTTAAATTTGGAAAAAATGGAAAAGATAACACCAGAAAAGATAAATGTATAACAAACATTTTAGTACACAGTTACAAGACCAGAAACAGTGGAGTAAGAGAGGACTTTAAGCTTAAAGCAGTTGGGAAGTTAATTGGGGAGCAAAAAAACAAAGGGGAATGGAAAAATTCTGCTTTTCTATTTCACTCCATCTTTTAGCAGAGGTGCCACTTTGCTGTTCAGGTTTTCCAGCATCCTTAGATGTGTTTTTATCTCAAAAAATCTGGAGCAAAGGATGTCTAACCCTGGTCCTCAACCTATCCAGAGATTTATCTGTTTCTCCCCCTGGATGGCTCCCACTGAGCTTTTTTGCATCTTCTATAAGCTATTTTCAGTAAAATCCTTGAGGATTCATAGGGCAGCAGAAGTTACTCATTAGAGTAGTCCACCTGACTGGACTGAGTTAGACCCTATTAGTGTAAAAATAAATATTAACAGCTCCTTTTGTATTTCGACAGTCGTATTTTCACACTTTATTCAACTCTTTTCTTTCTGTTTCGAAACAGGTATTTTGTGACGCTAATCAAGTCGTACAGGCCACAGACGTGCTGGACTGGGAAGACAAAGAAGCTGCAGAGACATTGGTTGACAACGTGGTCCACTCCAGGATCATCAATCCTTTGCGCCTCTTCGTTAAGCCATCTCCGGTTCTGAAGCACGGCCAGGTGTCCTACTCGGACAGCATAGAAAATTTTTGGGATTGGTTGTCCAACATCACGGAGGTTCAGGAATCTCTGGCACGAACTAAACGCAGACCTATAGTAAAAACTGGGAAATTCAAGAAAATGTTTGGATGGGGCGACTTCCACTCTAACATCAAAACTGTTAAGCTGAACCTCCTGATCACAGGGAAAATCGTCGATCACGGCAATGGGACCTTCAGCGTTTATTTCCGACATAACTCCACGGGTCTGGGAAACGTTTCCGTAAGCCTGGTGCCACCTTCCAAAGTGGTTGAGTTCGAATCGTCTCCCCAGTCAACACTGGAGACCAAGGAATCCAAGTCCTTCAACTGCCGAATCGAGTACGAAAAAACAGACCGCGCTAAAAAAACTGCCTTGTGCAATTTTGACCCTTCAAAGATCTGCTACCAAGAGCAGACTCAAAGCCATGTCTCCTGGTTGTGTTCCAAACCCTTTAAAGTGATCTGCATTTACATTGCTTTCTACAGCGTAGATTACAAACTGGTGCAGAAGGTCTGTCCTGATTACAACTACCATAGCGAGACTCCGTACCTGTCCTCCGGCTGATACAACAATCCTGGGCAACTCTAGAGATACAGCAGCAGGCATAGAAATAAGCATTTCCATTAACCTTTTGGAGAAGAATTATGTTTTCCTATCAGGTTAAGAAGTCTTCGGGAAAAAAAATAAAATGTAGCTGTGTGTGTGCTGTATCGTAAATAATCACACTCTTTACGTAACAACCACTTTCATTTGAGACCATTGCGTTTTCGCTCTCTTCATTAATAAGGGAACTGCCAGGCAGACACATGACAAAAATGAAACAAAATTATGTCTGTAATGAGCACCGATCTTGCAAATCACTTTTTTTTCAACTAGATTCTATGGCAGAGGGGTTGTCTTTTACTTAAACTGGCCAGCACTTGGCAGGATCCTATTTCTCATTGGGAACTTTAAAAGATGACAATATAAAGAACAAATGATTAAGCAGACTCCCAGCTGCTTATATAAAAAAATCCAAATGAACAGCTCTCCCACTATTTTCATGAGGAATGTTACCCACACAGGGCTCAAGGGTCAAGTCCAAATACTAAGAGAAAGTGCTATTTCTAGGACACAAAAAAAAGGAATCTGCATTTCTATGAGTTGTAGTAGTTGTACGCAGTCATTGAAGTGAAGAGTGAGTAGTTCTTCCTTCAGACTTCTTCCCCCACAGATATGCAATGATCTAATTAGACATTGATGAGCTTTAGTTTATTAGAGCCACCAAGTGGGCAGGTTTGGTGTACGTTGCCTTCCTTCTGTGGTCATCGTTGGTTTTGGTTCGTCTCAAGCGTTTGCATCTACACCAGCTCTAGTTTTACAGTGGTGGAGATCGTACCCACCTTGGAGAAAAGATAATCTCTGTTTAAGTCTGATGACAACAGGGACTGGCTTCCACCTACAGGAAGCATTTCCCTTGCTCTCTTACCCCTCTGAGCACTGTCTTGCTGCATGGAAAATACACCACAGCATTCAGGATGATACCTGAATAAGCTTCTGCTTAATGGCACCCAATCGTCTTCCTTAGTATCGCGTTGCGGACCTTAACTCAAAATACAAGCAATGACAATGTGCCCTTGTGGCCAAGAGGGCCAATGGCATCCTGGGGGGGAAGAGTGTGGCCAGCAGGTCAAGGGAGGTCATCCTGCCCCTCTGCTCTGCCCTGGGGAGGCCCCATCTGGAGCACTGGGTCCAGTTCTGGGCTCCCCCAGTTCCAGAAGGACAGGGAACTGCTGGAAAGGGGACAGCAGAGGGCTAGAAAGGTGATCGGGGCCTGGAACATCTCTCTGATGAGGAGATGCTGAGGGACTTGGGTCTTTTTAGTCTGGAGAAGGCTGAGGGGGGATCTGATCAATGCTTATAAATACTTAAAGGGTGGGCATCAAGAGGAAGGGACCAGTCTTTTTTCAGTGGTGCCCAGGGACAGGACAAGAGGAAATGGGCACAAACTTGAATATAAGAAGTTCCACCTAAACATGAGGAGGAACTTCTTTACTTTGAGGGTGGCAGAGCACTAGAACAAGCTACCCAGAAAGGTGGTGGAGTCTCCTTCTCTGGAGACATTCAAACCCACCTGGACAAGTTGCTGTGCAACCTGCTCTGGGGGGGTTGGACTAGATGATCTCCAGAGGTCCCTTCCAACCCCAGGTGATTCTGTGACAAATTAAGAGGACAATAAAAATCTATGCATCTTCATCTCACGAGGAGGATTTCAAACAATTGCTCTCAAGGTGAAAACACCCAGCCAGACTTTCCCCTCCTACAGAACAGCACCATCGTGCCCCAGTCAGTTGTAACCCTTGGGCATTGACTTTGCTGCTGCCACCAGTTTGCTGTCACGGTTCTTTGTGACAGTTCTGGTGTCACAGGTCCCGAGGAAGAAGGTGGCTGAGGAGGGGCTTTTTATTGCTCCCAATCAAACTTCCATGCAGGGTCCAAGGAGTTACACACCACTTAAATGAAGGACTGAGTTAAATGAGTTAAAATACTCCATTCAAGCCGAGGTGAAAACACCCAGCCAGACTTTCCCCCAGAACAGCACCATCGTGCCCCAGTCAGTTGTAACCCTTGGGCATTGACTTTGCTGCTGCCACCAGTTTGCTGTCACGGTTCTTTGTGACAGTTCTGGTGTCACAGGTCCCGAGGAAGAAGGTGGCTGAGGAGGGGCTTTTTATTGCTCCCAATCAAACTTCCATGCAGGGTCCAAGGAGTTACACACCACTTAAATGAAGGACTGAGTTAAATGAGTTAAAATACTCCATTCAAGCGGTGTGTGTGCAGAAAAATGACTGACAGGTCAGAAGGACTCACTCACGAGATTCATTCTGAGTTCCTGGGTTAATTCTCATACACAAAAAAAAAAATAAAATAATTTACTCCTTTTAAAAATATACTACAAGTAACTGGGTCATTTGTTTTTCTCTTTAGGGTGTGTGCGCAGAGAAACGAGTGACAGCTCGGAAGGACTCACGAGATTCATTCTGATTTCCTGGGTTAAGTCTCATCCAAAAAAAAAAAAAAAAAAAAAGGTCATTTGTTTTTCTCTTTAGGTGACAAATTTAAATGTGTGGTTTAGTTTGATCAATAACCTCAATGTTTTTCCTTCATCTTATTTCATACCGAGTCTCTCCTGGTCTAAATGATGTTTTTTAGTTTGTCTCTTCCTGTCGATCCCTACAAGATGGTCTACTTTGTATTCTGTATAGCGTGTCCCCCGTCCGGCTGTATATAAGCTTGGATTTATCGCTCCGAGTTCAGTGGTTGATGCTTTTTGTAACTTAGCTGTAAGCCATGATTTTATTGCCATGTATTTTTACTCGGCAGTGTAGGCAATTAAAAGAAAACCCTACATGCTATTTATTGTAGAGTATGTGGAAATCATGTATGTATATACACTTAAATATGTGTACATATACAGAATATATGTGTACACGTATTTGTATGTAAATAAAGAGAGTTTACTAAATCTGGCACTCGCTTGTGGCATATTTGATTATTTTATATTTTTTTTTTAAATGTATAAAGACACAAAGTAAAACTAAGGCTCTGCCACACGTCACTGAGCATTTTTCCCCAGCTGGAATTTTGTTTTTCTGGGAGCTGATATTTAGGTGCTACAAGCCTAGGCAGAATAGCTCCAGCAGCATTTCAGGATATTCGAGAAATGAAGTGCATGTTTTAACGAAGACAATCGTGAGCTGTTTAATAATTGTGCAAGGCAGAGCAGAAGCAAAGGGGTTAGTCCAAAGGAGAAAACCTGCTTCAGCTCCTCCCGAGCAGGAACGCGCTGCAAGATGGGGCAGCTCGCTGCTGATTCAGCCCTCCCGCCGAGTCCCTCATGAAAGCAGGAGCTGGATTCTCCCCCCGGGACATCATCTCACAGCCACGGCCCGGGCTGAGGTTTCCAGACCTCAGGGAGACAAACCAAGGCTTTTGGCAAACAAACATCTCTCTAGAAACACCTGGGGATTCACAGGGAAAGGCTGTTATGAATCAAACGACAAGTATTTTAATAGATTTAACACCCAAACGTGGAGAAGGTATGGACCCAACTAGCAGCTTTTGACCTAAACCAACTCTCAGGCTCTTCAAGCAAGGCTCAGGCTGGTGCCATGCCACCAGAGAAACAGCCTGCAGCAGCCAGAGACCTGGACCCTCTCAGTCCTGCCTTCCTAGGGCCCAGGTGCAGCCTGTCCTCCACCAGAGCATGGGGAAGAGCTGTTGTCTCTCACCTGTGAGCCCCACCAAGGTGCTTTCCCCACCCTCAAGCCTCCTAATGATAGAGTGACCATCATCAAAGCCTCTCAGCTCCCTCTACTTCTGATAAACACAAACCAGTGTGGTGAAAGTCAAAGTTTGCTGAAAGAAGCAACAGCACAGGGGGCCTGGGCACCCAGGAGATGATTTTGGAGATTTAGCGTTGGCTTTAATATAGTCCAAGTGTTTCCCCTGGGAGAAATGAAGCCTCAGCAGCACCATCCGACCGGTGTGGTGATGCTCTGATGGTGGGACAACAGCAGTAGCTCCCACCACTCTCCCCAGCACAAAGAGAGGGGCTGGCAGCCAGGGCAGGAGGGAGCCTTGGGACCAAACCCATCACACCAGAGAACTCACCACCACGCTTTTCCCAATCACTATATATTTAAAAAAAAAAAAAAAAAAAGACCTGGACCCTCTCAGTCCTGCCTTCCTGGGACCAGCTGCAGCCTGTCCTCCACCAGAGCATGGGGAAGAGCTGTTGTCTCTCACCTGTGAGCCCCACCAAGGTGCTTTCCCCACCCCCAAGCCTCCTAGTGATAGAGTGACCACCATCAAAGCCTCTCAGCTCCCTCCACTTCTGATAAACACAAACCAGTTTGGTGAAAGTCAAAGTTTGCTGAAAGAAGCAACAGCACAGGGGGCTTGGGCACCCAGGAGATGATTTTGGAGACTTAGCGTTGGCTTTAATATAGTCCAAGTGTTTCCCCTGGGAGAAATGAAGCCTCAGCAGCACCATCCAACCGGTGTGGTGATGCTCTGATGGTGGGACAACAGCAGTAGCTCCCACCACTCTCCCCAGCACAAAGAGAGGGGCTGGCAGCCAGGGCAGGAGGGAGCCTTGGGACCAAACCCATCACACCAGAGAACTCACCACCACGCTTTTCCCAATCACTATATATTTAAAAAAAAAAAAAAAAAAGAACATTGGGACCAAACCCATCACCCCAGAGAACTCACCACCACACTTTTCCCAATCACAATATATTTAAAAAAAAAAAAAAAGGCTTAAAAGCATTATGGTTTATTGTAGTGGGGTTTTTTGCAGATAAATTGTGAGAAAAGCACTTGCATTCTTATTGCAGTCAAAATCAGATTAAAAAAGAAATTATTTACACCTAGCAAGGTAAGCAAAACCCAATGCAATGAATCAAAGGAAGTGACAGGCTTCATTAGGTCAAATTTCACATTGCCCATGTAAACAGAGCTAAGTTTGATTTTATTTCACACAGAATGGGCCATATTTTAGAACAACATTTTCCTGTATAACAGGGGACTAAGACAAGTTTCAAATTTCAATGAGTGTTCCTCTCACAGCTCTTCTTCAAAGGATTTTAAAATAAGTTTGGAAGATTGAATACCTTTTTTTTTTTTTGTTAAAATGGCTTATTATAGTGGGTTTTTTTGCAGATCAATTGTGAGAAAAGCACTTGCATTCTTATTGCAGTCAAAATCAGATTAAAAAAGAAATTATTTACACCTAGCAAGGTAAGCAAAACCCAATGCAATGAATCAAAGGAAGTGACAGGCTTCATTAGGTCAAATTTCACATTGCCCATGTAAACAGAGCTAAATTTGATTTTATTTCACACAGAATGGGCCATATTTTAGAACAACATTTTCCTGTATAACAGGGGACTAAGACAAGTTTCAAATTTCAATGAGTGTTCCTCTCACAGCTCTTCTTCAAAGGATTTTAAAATAAGTTTGGAAGATTGAATACCTTTTTTTTTTTTTGAGAGTTTCCCAAGAGGGCATGATTGACTTATAAACACAACAACCTAATCTAAAAGTTGTTAATATACATACTTTAGAATAGAATAGAATCATCTAGGTTGGAAGGGACCTTAAAGATCATCTAGTCCAACCATCAACCAAACTCTGACAGAAAAATAAATAAGAAACAAGCAATAAAAAAAAATAAATCACTAAACCATATTCTTGAGGACCATGTCAACCCATCTTTTGAACACCTCCGGGGATGGTGCCTCAATCACTTCCCTGGGCAGCCCATTCCAATGCTGGATAACCCCTTCTGAGAAGAAATTTTTCCTAATATCCAATCTAAACCTCCCCTGGCACAACTTGAGGCCGTAAATTTAAGCCAAATCTCAACAATATAGTTTAGCATATATTAAATACATATTTGCATTGATATAAAACTCCTTACTAAATATCCTTCTTATCCTTCTCCCTGTCCCATGGATATACTTGTAAAAAATTCCCAATAAAAAGCTAATTCATGATACACACATGAATATCAGCATTTTTTCCTCAGGCAGCCCCACCGTACAGCGCTGCGGGAACCACGCACACTCAGTATCTCCTTTTTTAATCATTTCTATTTGAATAGGGAAAGAACTTTGTTTGGATTTTCTTTTCCCCTCAACAATTTCATCCCTTGGATCCCTTTCATCTCCTTGCAGCCCCGACTGGTGGTCACATCCAGCCCTGAGCCCCTTGGCCCCCTATCACCCTGGCGCTGGGGATGGTTCCCAGGCTCCTCCATCCAGCAGCCAACGCTGTACTACAGCGGTGAGCAAGACAGAGGGGAAAAAAAAGGGCAAAAAAGCCAAACTTCATTTGCTGTGAGCTCCCTGGGGTGGCTACATTTTCTTTTTTAGGGGGGAATTTACCAGGCAGTGCGAAAAGAGCAAACCCCCTGATGCAACTGGAAACACTCAGCGCAAGCAGGTGAAGGTGCTCACTGGAAATCAGCATCCTGGGCTGCTGCCTTGGGTTGTTGGTTTGTGTGGGTTTTTTTTAATTGTAATTCAAGGACATTAGAAACTCAGCGCAAGCAGGCGGAGGTGCTCAGTGGAAATCAGCATCCTGGGCTGCTGCCTCGGTTTGTTAGTTGGTTTTTTTTTTAATTGTAATTCAAGGACATTAGAATTTGCTATTTGTTTTACGCTCTGTTGACCAGCATAATCTGGATAATGTTTTATTTATAGTATAATAATGATTTGTCATTACCACCGTCCCTATTCAAATATGCACAGTTGAAAAGACAATAACAAGTCGTATATAACTAAGTAGCTCAGTGAAACACACATCAATCAAGTAGATTTTTAGCTGTAGGGGGGTGTCTCAGTTGACAAAACTAGACTTTGCCATTCCCAGCTCTCCTGTGAGCACCTCTTACACGCACCCGCCAAAGCAGCTTCCTTCTTTGTTTTAAAACTAGCAAATAAAGTGACATTTTTCATGGATTGGCAACCAGCACCAGACTACACTTAGAGGGTATTGCCTGCACTAGAGTAGATAACAAAAATAATAGGGAGTTAGTGTAATCACAGATTACACTCACAGATTAACAAAAATAAAACTCACAAATTTATATCACGCCCCTGGAGGATTCAGGTCTCTGGAGTTAAGGAACAGAAGTTAAACCACATCTCACTAGACATCCCACAGGAAAGATGGGGACAGACTTTTTAGCAGGGCCTGTTGTGACAGGACAAGGGGTAATGGCTTTAAACAAAAAGAGGGAAGATTTAGACTCGATAAAAAGAAGGAAGAGATTTTTTTTTTACAATGAGGGTGGTGAGATGCTGGCCCAGGTTGCCCAGAGAGATGGTAGATGCCCCATCCCTGGAAACATTCAAGGTCAGGTTGGACGGGGCTCTGAGCGACCTGATGTAGTTGAGGATGTCCTTGCTCAGTGCATCATTGGGATGGAGCAGTTGACCTTTAAAAGTCCCTTCCAACCTAAACTATTTCATGATCTCCCAGCTTGCTGCACATGCAAGGAACACACCAGCTCCACAGAAGGGAGATTTGAGGGACTAGTTTTCCAGAAGAAGAGGTGAGATGTCGTGAAACATCCCACTTCAGTCACACCACACCTCACTTGGAGGGTCGCTGAGCACAGGTCTGCAAAACCTGGTCAGATCTGCAACCTAAGGGATGTGAGGAGAGCGGGTTCTGCTGGACCCTGCCATCAGGGTGGCACAGCATCCTCCTGCCAGGCTGCTCCGACCGACCACGTTGCAGCTCTCCAGCCCAAAACACCAGTGGGTTTTCAGTCAGAAGCAAGCCTCCAGCTGTTGGTACTCTCAAGCAAGATCCCCCAGGCATCTAGACTAAATTTTGAAGGCAAAAAAAAAATTGAAACATCCCACTTCAGTCACACCACACCTCACTTGGAGGGTCGCTGAGCACAGGTCTGCAAAACCTGGTCAGATCTGCAACCTAAGGGATGCGAGATGAGCGG